AAGGATTAAGGAACGCAAACGCTTTCAAGTGTCCTTCCAGAGCGTCCCTCACGAGCTTTTCCAATAACGTGACCAGCACGCTCGTTAAACTGACCGGTCTATAGTTATCAGGGAGGTGCTTATCACGTTTCTTAAAAAATGGGAAAAACAATAGCTTCCTTCCAGTTCTTGGGCAGAGAGCAGCCTCGTAGACTTCACAAAAAGTTGCGTAATCGGACGGCAAAGTTCATCAGCTAACTCGTACAACTCGTACATGCTCCGTTCCATCAATGCACACAACGACGGTACCATCTTCGGATTTACCCACAACTTCCCTGACGACTGTTCCTTTCACTCCGGAGAAGGTCCTGGCGACACTCAAATCCCTGCGACTAACGGCCTCTCCTGGCGCTGATGGTTTCCACCCACGGCTCTTGCGAGCGTGCGCTGCAGCTCTAGCTTTACCCCTAGCGGAGCTGTTCACCCACTTCTTCTCGCAAGGCAAAGTTCCCAACGATTAGAAATTTGGGACTATTACACCAATCTACAAAGGCGGTACTAGCAAAGATCCGGCCAATTATCGACCGATAACTCTCCTATCTACAATCTCCAAAGTGATGGAATCGATCGTCGCAGACGCTTTAATGGACTACATGGAGGCCCAGATACAGCTCTCTGATTGCCAGCACGGTTTCCGGCGTCAACGGTCATGCCTGAGTAACCTGCTACTTGCCAGGGACAGCTGGACGACTGCAGCCGACTCTGGCCAAGAAACGCATGTTATATTCCTGGATTTCGCCAAAGCCTTCGACAAGGTCGACCACAAGTTTCTACTGCAGAAACTGTTGCCTTACGGCGTTTCAGGGGGCTTGATGGACTGGATCTGGAACTACCTCCAAAACCGTACCTTCCAAGTATGCGTCGACGGAGCGTTGTCTCCCCGCATCCTTCCCACAAGCGAAGTTTCACAGCGGTCTGTTCTCGGACCGCGCCTCTTCCTAGCCTTCATTGATGACGTCACACCGCAAGTGGAGTCTTCACTGCTGCTATACGCGGATGACGCGAATCTGTGGCGCCCAATTAACGTTTCGGACGATGCCCACGCACTTCAGACGGACCTGGACCGTCTACATCAGTCGCCCATAGAAAACAACCACCTATTTAACGCTACGAAATGTCGCGTCCTTTCTACCCGCCCTTCCGCTTTTTCTCCTGTACATTACCTGGGAGCGTCTATCCTCCAGATCTCTTCAGCCGAAAGAGACTTGCGTATCATTACCCAGACGAGTCTTTCCGTATCGGCTTCCTGCCGGAAAGCAGCTGCTGCTACTAACCGCATGGTGGGATTGCTGAAACGAGCCTTCGGTCAAATTGACCCCAGCAATTTCCGCCTCCTCCTCAATGCTTTTCTTCGACCCCACTTGGAGTTCGCTATTCAGGCTTGGAGCCCTCCGTTGTTGAAGGACCAACGCATACTCGAGACCCCACAACGTCGAGCAACCAAACTGGTCCGAGGTCTCAAGCACCTAGATTATCCACGACTTCAGTGCCTGGGCCTCTACTCGCTTAAGTACCGACGTCTACGGGGCGACCTGATCCTTGTATTCATGATCTTATCCAACCCTGGACATCCCTGTCGCCACCTACCCACACTGCACCAATCGGGCTCCCACCTACGTGGCCACCCATTGAGGCTCACACATCGGCATAGTCGGCTGAACTGCAGACGACCCTACTTCGCTTTGCGAATCTGCAGACGGTGGAATGCTCTGCCTGCCGATTTAGTCTTGGCACCCACTGTGGCGTTCGTTAAGACCCGCTTGGACTGTCATCTGGCCGAGTTACACCGCGATATTCCCTAATATTACTACCTTCTACTGGATGGAATTTCTTCCTTTTTTCTTATACCTACGTCCTTTCCAAAGTTGTTTGGAGGGCGTGGTGGGATGTCACGCTTTGAGCCGGCGTGCATTCTGTTTAAATGGCCCATAAGCCCGATGAAAATACGGCTAACACGCGAGTCCAACCCGCTATAAAGTTGCTTGGCCTTTCATTAGACCCGACCCGAACTCTTTTTACCCTATGGGTCATGTAAAGCTCGAGCTTTTATTCCCATTAAATACAATGTCCCAACGTTGCAAACAGTTTGGGATGAATGGCATGCCCACCGGCAGCTTTAGTGGGATTTAATTGCCTCAGAAGCCGGAGCACTTGCGCCTCAGTTATAGGAACCTCCTCCAAGTGAGAGCCCTCAGGAACTTTTGCCTGGAGACTGATATGCGGCGGCTGTGACTCTCGAACATAAACCCCAGCATACTGTTCTCCGAGAAAACAAGCCTTTTCGTGATCCGTGACAATAGCAGTGCCGTCCGGTTCATACAACACTGGGATGCGCGAATTCATGTTGCTTCGCCTTTTGACATAAGCGAAATAAATAGTAAAAAATTAATGTCAGCTGTACGCCGTAACGGCGCTTCGCTGCAGCGCATTCACCACCAGTCGCGTGCGGGCTGAGTATACCGCGAGGACGCCCACCCCTACGCGGATTCGAACCGGTGACCTTATGGTTGTAAAGCAAACATGCAGACCATTCGGCCACTGGCCGACTGACATAAGCG